ACAAATCGATACACACACACACATACATACATATATATATATAATATATATAATATATATATATATAAATATATATATATGTGTGTGGTGTGTGTGTGTGTGTGTGTGTGTGTGTGTGTGTGTGTGTGTGTGTGTTGTGTGTTTAGTACATATGTATGTAATATATATATATATATATATATATATATATATATATATATATATATATATATATATTATATATATATATATATGATATATATACAAATCGATACACACACACACATACATATATATTAATATATATATATATATATATATATATATATATGTGTGTGTGTGTGTGTGTGGTGTGTGTTGTGTGTGTGTGTGTGTGTGTGTGTGTGTGTGTGTGTGTGTGTGTGTGTGTAAAAGCCGCTGTTTAAGTTGAAATTAGGCAGCAGCTTGGTTAAGGAAGATTCCACCAATCTGCGGTCTTGGACATCAGCGGAAGGGAAGACACATGCACACCACTGACCGATCCATTTGATGGTCTGTGTCCCACTGCTGGCAGAAGAGGCGTTGTTGTTGTGTCCCTTGTATACCGCATATTCATGTTTGAAATATACGCTTAGCAAGAGAGTCTTCAGCTGAGAGGGTGAAGAAGGCGACGGAGTGAGATCTAAGAGAGTGCTCCTCAGTGTAAGGCAGGTGAGGAGTTTCTTCAAGTGACGAGTCGTGGTAGAAGGTACGCCGCGCCCTGGATAACGCGACGTCGAGAACATGGCGAGGGTAGCCCCGTCTGGAGAACGAACGACGTAGGAAATCGATCTCTTCATCCAGGTACTAAGAGTCACAGTTGCGGAGAGCGAGGGGAAACAGCGAAGTGGCAACACCTCTCTTCACATGGAGTGGATGGTACGAGAAGTGTACGTACATACCACTGTGCATGGTTTTCCTGTATATGGAGAAGTGGTCAGCAGAGCGATGAACTAGTGTCCAAGAAGGGGAACTCGCTGTCAACCTCTCACTCCACCTTGAAATGGATGGAAGGAGAGAGTTCAGCTTCGTCGGGAAATCAGAGAACAGGGTAGGGTCATGAGGTCAGAGAACAAAGACGCCGTCGACATACCTCAGCCAAACCGAAGGACGAAGGGAGATGGAAGGAGGAGGTTTGCCAGAACAGGGGAGAGAGGAGAGCCCATGGCAACACCGAACGTCTGAGAGTAGAAGCGACCCTCAAAGGAAAAGGAATTAGACTCCACCCACAGACAAATCAGCTAAAGGAAGACGTCGGCGGGCAGATCTTCGGCAGGGAGCTTCCTCTGAAGGAAAGCGAGGACGTCATCAAGCGGGATCTTGGTGAACAAGGAATCGACATCCAAACATCATGATCGAGACACCACGGACACGGAAGATGAAGTCCTGAGAGTGGCGAAAGTGAGCAGGAGAAGGTCCAAGAAAAGGAATGAGAGATTTCCCCAGCCACACCGCGAGAGGGAACGTAACAGATCCCCGGGAGGAGATAATGGGGCGCAGAGGCAGGGCCGGCTTATGGGTTTTTGGGTAGACCATAGAAATAAGGGAGACGAGGAGTAGGTGATCGCAATCCTCTAGCAGAGATTCGCCTCCGGAAAACATGCTGCTGTCCCGGGATTTCTGCAGGTAGGACGTACGGTCGAGGACCACCACCGAGTTGCCCTTGTCAGAAGGCAAAATGCTGACATCCTCCCTGCGCAGGCTTTGGAGGGCCTGGGAATGGAGGAGCTGGGGCCGAGGAGGGACCCGAGGGCCAGGATGAAAGCACGACGAAGGAGAGAAACATCAGGCAACTCCCCATGAGTATAGATAAAGCGGTCGAAGGATGAAATAATGTCGACGGGGGTTAGGGGAAGAGGACGGAGAGCAAAGGAAAGACCGAAGCCAAGGAATTGTTGTTGGAGAGGGTTTAAGGACAGGGAAGATAGGTTGGGGAGATGCAGGAGGTTAGGTTGGAGAGTTTCTTGGGGAGAGAGCGGCCATGGGTGATGGGAGAAAGGGGGAGAGAGGAAAGGGGAAGAGAGAGGGTGTAAAGAGAAGGGGGAGGGAAGGGAGCGAAGAGGAGGATGGAACGGGAGGGAGGAGGAGGAAGGAGGAGGGGAAGGAAAGGTAGAGAAAGGAGAAGGGGAGGAGGAGGAGGATGGGAAGGAAGGGTAGAGCAGAGGAAGGAGAAGGGAGGAGGAAAGAGGGACCGGAAAGAATCGTGGGCAACGTCGCCTATTAGCCAGAAAACAAATCCGGAGAGCTGCGCCTTCACGAAGTCCGAACGCACTCGCGAACGATAGCAAGCAGACGACGTGGATTCCGAAATTGTTGTCTCATATAATGTAATTGGTAATTCTAAGTAGTCAACCGCGCTTTCTCTCTCTCTCTCTCTCTCTCTCTCTCTCTTTCTTTCTTTCTTTCTTTCCTCTCTTCTCTCCTCTCTCTCTCTCTCTCTCTCTCTCTCTCTCTCTCTCTCTCTCTCTCTCTCTCTCTCCTACCCCCTTCAATCTTTGGGGACCCGTGGAGAATCGGGGGTTGAAGGGGGGGGGGGGTACACGCACACGGGAAGAAATAGTGGAATCAAAAGTGTAAATTTTGAAAGAAAATAAAAAATTCCGGCTGAAATACCGAAGGAAATTCTAGCCTAACCTTAAGTAACCTATCCTAACCAACCTAACCTATTCTAACCCAACATAGCATAACATAACATAAACATAAACCTAACAACCTAACATATCCCAACATAACCAACTAACCTAACTAAACTAACCTAACCTAACCTAACCTAACCTAAAAACCTAACCTAACTATCTAACCTAACCTAACCTAACCTAACCCTAACCTCTAACCTAACCTAACCTAACCCTAACCTAACCTAAACCTAATAAAACCTAACTAAACCTAACCTAACCTATAACCTAACCTAACCTAACCTAACCTAAACCCTAAAACCTAACCTAACCTAACCTAACCTAACCTAACCTAACCTAACTAAAACCTAACCTAACCTAACCTAACCTAACCTAACCTAACCCTAACCTAACCTAAAACCTAACCTAACCTAACCTAACGCTAACCTAACCTAACCTAACCTAACCTAACCTAACCTAACCTAACCTAACCTAAACCTAACCTAACCTAACCTAACCTAACCTCCTAACCTAACCTAACCTAACCTAACCTAACCTAACCTAACCTAACCTAACCTAACCTAACCTAACCTAACCCTAACCTAACCTAACCCTAACCTAACCTAACCTAACCTAACCTAACCTAACCTAACCCTAACCTAAACCTAACCTAACCTAACCTAACCTAACCAACCGAACCGAACCGAACCGAACGTAACGTAACCTAACCTAACCTAACCTAACCTAACCTAACCTAAACCTAACCT